ATTCTCCATCGTCCCTTCCTAAGGCCCGCCCCTCCTCTTTCATCCCAGCCCCATCTCCTCTTCCATGCGTGCATTCTCCCACCCCGCCCACCTCACAACGTGGCCCAGCCCGATAAAATTCTATAAAAAGAAACGCCACAGTTCGTGATTTAGCCCACACTCGGTGGCCATATTTGATCCCCAACGCGGCATACTGCTCGCGGCGCCGTGAAGAGAGAGAGGAGGCTCCATTAGTTCTAAGATCCTTGGCTTCACCCATAAACTTTCTCTTTCTCGTCACCTTTGACCTACTATAAGGTCGCAGGGTCAGCGATTTCTGGGAAAACGCCCGATGCGATTTGTTTAGGGTTTGACCGTAGGTTTTTTCTTTTTGTTTACTGTTGGCAAAAAAGCCATGGGAATTATCTTATGTTGTACCCTTCAATAATATCTGTCAGCTTAACATTTTGTTGTTTTTTACCCCCACAAAATGAATATTTCCCATTGTTCCCAACCTCAATCTAGAATCTAGAGTCTAGTCTAGTCTAGTCTAGATCTAGTTGTTTACTTTCAATTTCACATTCAGTTTCGGTTTCATAGCCAAGTTTTCACTTCTCTTCTTCGTCACTTAGATTCTAGAATCTAGATCTAGATTTTTTAGATCTACTTCTTTACTTTGTCAAGTAAAGTCAGACCTCGACAGACACTGAACGACAGCACCCGTGAAATTCGAGAAGCCGTCGGCCTACCTAGCCTGATATTCAATCGTCAACAACTCTCAGGTTGTATTAATAATCTAGATTTACTTTTTACTTGTTCGTCTTCTGTTGCTGTTAAGCGTCGAGGGGAGATGTAGTTTCTTATGGTAGCCTAGGCTAACTTTGCAGCTTCTTCCATTAGGATGTTAAAATATCTCAGAGTTCCCTTGACTCTCTCTATCCATCTTTTGCATGGCCTGCATGGTTCTTTCTTTATGTTATAGCCCGAGTAGATCTATTTGGTGTTAAAATATGTGCTCTCCAGGCTGGTTGGGAATGTGACGTGTCTTTCTCTGACATGCAAGGAGGACTGTGCCAACATATTTATAGGTCTATTCTAGATCTAAGTTGTTCTTATTTCATTATTTCTCTGTCCGTCCATGCTCTTCTCCGTCTTCTTGTGATGTTAAAGCATTTTGCGGAGGCATTTAATTTAATCTCACATACAGTGGTTTTACTTTCATGGGCTTACTTATTGTAGATCTAGATCCAGCCTGTTGGTTATAGATCTAAATATGAAAGTGATTTTGCTGCGTTTTTGTCCATGGTAGTGTATTGAAGAGATTGAAGGCCGGTGAGAGCTGATGAATGACTGTGTTAGATTCTAGCTTTTTAGTTTTAGTTTTAGACTCTAGATCTAGATCTAGATCTAGATTAGTTTGCGTTTTTCTATTTCTCTGTCTGTGGATCAGTTTTCAGAAGAAAAAAATAATGACAAGGTCCCAGACAGCATGACTTCCTCGGCTGACTGTGCGGCATTGAGTCGACAAGGCGGACAAGCAGATTACGATGTCTAACTGACGTAGGGCCGACGTCCAATAACGAGTCAGCTGTTGCCGACCCATTGCCGATACTCCGTTTTTAGGCGTTGTCCGACAGTCAGCCGACAAAGCGACGTTCACACATCAAATCGACGTCAGCTCGAAGGCGGTCACGTTAGATTAAAGGGACATCATTTTATAAGTTCCTATTTTTATTTGAAATATTCGTGGATTATGTCCCGTTATAATACCCTCCCCAAAGTCTGTTCTCACTTTTGTTGAGAGCTGGTGCACGGTTAGCTCTCTCTCTCTCTCTCTCTCTCTCTCTCTCTCTCTCTCTCTCTCTCTCTCTGTCTCTCTCTCTCTCTCTCTCTCTCTCTCTCTCTCT